CCTTGTCTCAAAATGAAAAATAAAAAAGGTCTGGGATTGTAGCTCAGTGGGAAGACCCTGGGCTCAATTCTCACTACTGGGAAGAAAAACATAGTTGACAAATCAGAAGGTATATAAAATATAAATTTTAGTTTCTGATGCTAAAGCTTTACATTGATGAGCACTGGGCAGTTTGGTTGGTTATGTCACTTTTGAGTATCACTAAGCATTTAAGAGTTTCTGCCTTAATATTGTAGCTATACAAAAGTATTTAAGAAGTCACTACTTTGCTACACTTTTGCTTTTTGGGTGCGGGGAAAGAATGTTTCAGATTCTGAGACCAAGATAATATACATATAAAAAAACTTACACGGAACCAAAATGTCCATTGTGACAGAGGACATAAAATATTGTAGTATCTAATCAGTGTGTTGGCATTAGAAGAATGAATGTAGTGTTCTAATTAGGAATGCTGGAAATATATAGCCTCCTGAAACCTTTTGGTAGGACGTTCTTTTCTCCATATTCTTTTTGTAGTGCTAAGGATTGGATTTAGGGCTTTTTCTCTGAGCTATGTCCCCAGGCTTTTTATTTATTTATTTTGGTACAGGGAATCAAATTTAGGACCTGTGCTTTTGCCAGTCAGGCACAGTGCCACTGAGCTAAATCCACAGCTTTATTTTTTATTTTGAGAGAGTCAGTAAATTGTTGATAAGTTGCTGAACTGGCCAGCATGGGCTGAAACGTGGAATCCTCCTGCATCAGCTTTTCAGACTGCTAGGATTATAGGTGTGCACGAACATGCCCAGTTTGTTTTCTTTCTTTGCTTATTAGGAGCTGAGGCTATCTCTTGCTGTAGGTCAAAGGAAGAATGCCAAGATCCTGAAGCAAGATCTTTTGTGTTAGACTGGTTTTTTCACTCATCAGTCTAGAAACTGTAAGATGAGGATTGATAGGTTGGATTCTGTAAAATGTTTAAACAGCTTAAAATTTAAAAACAAAAGAAAAGAAAAATACATTCTTATATGCACATCAAAAACAAAAAAGCCACCATAAACTAAATCAAAACATACTATAAACTGAAAAATACAATATTTGCCAGATTATTTATTAAAGGGCTAACATGGTTTTTTTTCCCCTCTTGAGCTGGTCTTGCCTTATAATCCAGGCTGGCCAAGAACTCACAGTTCCTAGCTCAGCCTCCCCAAATGCTGGGGTTATTGATCAATTTCTTATGTCTTTTTGGCAGATACTTTTTGCTTCTCACTAAGATTTGTTTTTTTTTGTTTGTTTGTTTTTTTAACCCTGAGTTATAGGAACATTGCAGTCACACTAATTTTTTCATGTTCCTTTTCCTAAAGTAACCATTAAAAGCCTTTTGAGGTTTTTCAAGTGTGTTTATTATACAGAGAAAAAACAAATTGGTAAACTGGAGTTTTAATCTTAGTCTCTGCCTACTCTGCTTTAAATATAGATATTGTAAGATGAGATTAAAGACTTCACACATTGGTAGATTTTGTTTACACAGAAGATTTAAGGAACATTTCTGGGGCTTTCATTCCCACTCTCCCAAGCATTGGAACTGGTGGTGTATCTGGTTGTGAGAGAAAATGTATGGGAGTGTCTGATAATGCAGTAGTGATACTGTCGTGCATGGATGCCCTCCTGTCAGCAATAGATATGTTCACTTTCTTCTCTGCCTTTGATATGAGCAACACTCCTCTCTCCCTACCTTGTCTGTTGAGGCCCAGGTGAAGATATTTGGGTACAGGTGGTATCAACAGTCTTAGGCTTGGAATAATAATAGTTAATTATTCAAATTTTTTCCTGTAGTACTGGGGATTGAACCTAGGGCTTCTCAAGCTTACCACTGAGCCATAACCCTAGCCCTTTTGTATTTTGAGACAGGCTCTTGTTATGTTCTCCAGGCTGGCCTTGAGCTTGCCTTAGCCTCCTGAGTAGCTGGGATTACAGGTATACACCACTGTACCCTACTGAACTGTACTGTTTTTAAGTACAGTAATTATTCTTAATAATAAATAATATATATGAGAAACTAAAATATAAAGCATGATGCATAATAGCTACTAATAGATAAATTTTGTTTGATGGATCCAGAATTAAAGGCATATTGAGAGGATCCTCGAATTTTTGAGTTCTATGAAAAAAGGGGGAAAGGCTACATTTCTTCTCTTTGATTCCCATTAATAATACTTCTAATATTCTCAAAAGAAATAATTTCTTTGCAGTTTCAACTAACAGCATGAATGATATATATATTCATTGCTGAACACATTAGTGTACATATATCTGTACTGTGTATTCAAAAGTAGTAAAATTTGAAATGAGAAATTGGGATCAAAAATTTAGCTCAGTGGCACTGCACCTGGCTCATAAGTGCAAAGGTCCTGAGTTCAGTCCCTGATACCAAAAACAACAAAAAAGAAATAAGAGGGCCGGGGATTTAGCTTAGTGGTTCTGCTGCTTGCCTCACAAGCACAAGGTCCCGAGTTCCATCTCCGGTACCAATCAATCAATCAATCAATAAATAAATAAATAAAATTATTTAGCTGGTCCATTTTGCCATTGGCACAGTATTTGCATATAACCTGTGCACAGCTTCCTGTATATTTTGCATTCGCTCTAGATTCCTTGTAATACCTAATACATTGTAAATGTTATGTAAATAGTTGTTACACTGGATTGTTTAAAGAAGAATAACAAGAAAAAAAGCTTGTACATGTTCAGTACAAATGCCATTTCCCCCCTGATATTTTCTGATTTGATTGATTGAATCTACAGATGTGGAACCTGTGCATATGGAAAGCCAACTGTAATGAAAAAAATACACTGAGTACAAGACTCAAATAGTATGAATTAAAAATGTTATCTCTGGCCAGGTGTGGTAGCACGTGCCTACTATAATCTTAGGACTCTGGGAGTCTGAGGCTGGAGGATTAAGAGGTCACACCCAGACCTTGCCTCAAAACAAAACAAAGCAAATTATCACCTGAGTTCTAGCTCAGCTTGCTATTTGAGTATCAAACAAAACACTGCAGTTCCAAAGTGGATGCCATTTTTTCTATAAACTTATCTTCAGTTGCCAATTCCATAATTTTTATATTCAATGGATAATAACTTTTAGTCTCCTGAGATTTAGAATAAAAACCTTTACTCTTTTCCTATCATTCTCCACTGTTTACTGTCTTTAAATGCTGTCTTTAAAATATTTCAGATTTTTATTTATTTATTTATTTGCTCTGCAGGGGATCAAACCTAGGGCCTATAGTATCACAGAGCTGCACCCCGAATCCTCAAGTGATATTTTATACAATATTTTATTGAATGAGTGTTTTGCTTTTTTTTCATAAATTTCTAAGTACTGGTTTTTGAAAATTAATTTTTTATAAGTACATATTTATAGTACATAATGTTTATATTCCTTATAGGGGGCTTGGTGCATGGACACTGATACATCCTAATTCCTTTTCATCTCTTTCCCTTCCCTTCCCCGCTTCTGATCCCCTTCCCTTTTGAGAAAGAGCTGTCCTTTTGGATATCTTTTCTTCATGGTTGTTACTGAGGATCACACTCAGGACCTTGAGTTTGGGAGGCAAGCATGGTGCCACTGAGCTAAATACCTGGCCCTGGATATCTTTTATTTTGCTCTTTATTTGTATTTTGGGTTTCTTATATAAGAGAAACCATGCAGTATTTAAGCAGCTGTATCAGAAACCTATAAATACTGTTATAATGGAAAAGGTAATTGGGTTTGGTGTTGAGTTCAATTCATATTATGACCCTGTTAGTTAACTCTGAGCAGTTTTTTTAAAACCTAGCCAGGCATGGTAGTGCACACTTGTAATCCCGGCACTCAGGAGGCTGAGGCAGGAATGCCAAGTGTTTGAGGCCAGCCTGGGCTACACAGGGAGTTCAAGGTCAGCCTGAACTACATAGTGAGACCCTATAAAAAAACAAAAAACCTTAGTTTTATATCTCAAGTATTTCCCCAACTTTAAAATTGTATCAGAGCAAGGTGTGGTGGTGCACAAGTGTAATTCCAGCACTCTGGGAAGCTGAGACAAGAAGATCACAAGTTCAAGACCAGCCTGGGCAATTTAGTGAGACCCTGTCTCAAAATAAAACATACAAATGGCTGTGGATTTAGCTTGGTGGGAAGACCCTGGGTTCAATCTCCAGTAATGAAAAAAGAGAAGAAAGAAACAGAGCATTGACAGCATCTCAGGTACATCTTGCGTACCCTTTTCCAAATATAACACCCTCCCTTTCCCCTGTGGGTAGTCATATCCTAATTTTCATAATATCTATTTCCTATTCTTCTTTATACTTTTATTACATGTGTGTAGCTCTTAACAGTATATAATTTAATTTTGTCAGGCATTTTGTGTGTGTGAGTGTGTGTGTGCATGTGTGCATGTGTGCACACTATTAGGGACTGAACCCAGGAGTGATCTTTCTCTAAGCTGTATCCCAGCTAAGTTGCTCAGGGTGGCCTCAAACTTATAATTCCCTGCCTCAGCCTCCCAGGTGGCAGGAATCACAGGCGTGTGACAGTATGCCTGCACCAGTTTTTAAGCTTTACATTATAAATAGGAATCATATAGGTGAATTCATTGTGTGGTAGTGCTTTAATACTGTATCCATTTTAACACATTTAATAATTAAATGGCCAGAGTGGACTAAAATAATGGAATATCTACCATGTTTGGTACTTGTTCCTGCTCCTGCTCTTCAACCAAATTGTCTGTCATGCAGGACACTGGTGCCTGATGACAATGATGACTGGTGAAAGATACAGCACTTGACTTTGAAAATAGATTTCTCAATATCTGTATATCTTTTATCACCCTGATATTCTTAAATGTTAATGTGCATGTATAGTACTTACATGTAGTAGATATATATATAAACATATATGAATACTTAGGTTTCTGACTTCAAAAAATAACTTGAGTCATCTGACACATTGGATTTTATAGACATAATACTTTCTTTTTCAGGTGAAACTTCCACCAATGATGGAAATCATAACTGCTGAACAGCTGATGGAATACTTAGGTTAGTGTTGAAGCGTGAGTGATTTTATATTTCTTTCAAGATAAACAAAAAAGCTGATGTATTATCCTGTCTCTCCTCTGAAGTGATATTTTGTTAATTTAACGTGTTTATAAGAATGTTAGTGTTCTTGGGTGTTATATCCTTCTCCTAAGCAGCAATGAAATTCTATAATATAAATAAGGAGACTGGATATGTCCAGAAAACAAGGTGCATATTAATTCCTGTAGACCACAAAAAGGGAGAAGACACAGACACTCTGACATTGCATGTGGCTGGTATTTAAAAATATTAAGTGGACTTGAATTGAAGGTGAAAGTGGAGAGCTGAGGATGTAACTCAGTCGTTGAGTGCTTGCCTCCCTTGTACAGGCCCTGGGTTTGATCTCCAGCACCATAAAATAAATAAAAAATGAAAAAGTGATTTGGGGCAGTGCTCTCAAAAGTTTGTTTCATGGACTATGCCAATTTATGAAATATTAATTATTGGTCTGCAGTGGGGTAGTAACCTACTCCAGGCTGTAAAACATTTATATTTACATTAATTAGTAAATACATTGTTTAATTCATTTGCAGTGTTTTTCATGGCAAAAACATTGTTTTTTCTATACTGGGAATTGAACCCAGGGCCTTGGCACTAAGCACATCCCTAGTCCTTTTTAAATTTTTTTCTTTTAATTTTGAGACAGGGTCTTGGTTAATTGCCCAGCAGACTGGGCTCAAATTTGGGATTCTTCTGCTTCAGCCTCCCACAGTACTGGAATTACAGGCAAATAGTACCATGCCTGGAAGAATCTTCTTGATGATGGAAACAATGTGTTAAACTAAGAATTTATATATTCATTCTATTACCAAATAGGAAATCTTGTTTCTATCATTCAAACCATCTGATTTTATTTGTAAGATATAGGCTTAGTGAATTGGGATTGCAGCTTTGGAAATGCCTTTTCTTTATGTGATTCATATTATTTAATCTTCACTCCTTGTCCGTGGGCCTTATACTTATGGATAGATGACTGTGAATATCTAGAAATGTCCAAATAGACTTTCTTTTTTATCCTTTCTTAATTAGTTTAGTGTGTCAGGTGATCCCTGACCAGTTATCAGGGGATGCCCAGTCGTCTGACTAAGGGTGAGGAGAGGATGAAAGAACAATATACAAGGAATAAAGAGATGAATGATACCAAGTTTGATACCAAAAAAAAAAAAAGAATGAATGATAGAGTGGGGCATGGTGGTGCACACCTGTAATCCCAGCACTCTGGAGGCTGAGGCAGGAGGATCACTGTGAGTTTGAGGCCAGGCTGGGCTACATAGTGAGTTTAAGACCAGTCTAAACTACAGTGGAAGACCCTGTGTTAAAACCCACCCCAAAATCAGGTTTTTCTTTCTTCAGACCTTGGGACTGAACCTAGGGTGCTCTATTTAAGTGAGCTATATCCCCAGCCCTTTTTATCTTTTGTTTTGTGACAGGGTTTTTCTTGCTAAGTTGCCTAGGCTGGGCTCTTAACTCACAGACCTCCTGTCTCAGCCTCCCAGAACCCTGGATAAATTACCAGTTTTGGGGTTTTTTTTTGTGGGGGAGGGTTTTGGTGTTTTGAGACAGGGTCTCACTATGTAGTTGAAACTGACCTGGAACTCCCTATGTAGCCCAGGCTGGTCTTGAACTCACAGTGATCCTCCAGAGTGCTGGGATTACAGGTGTGCGCCACCACGCCCAGCTGCCCGTTTTTTAAAAGCAAAAACATTTTGACTTTTGGGAGTTACATACTTTTAGAATAATGATAATACCATTGTTGGGAGGTAATTAGGATGACAGTTGTATTTGTAATAGCATTATAAGTTGGTATAAGCTTTGGGAGCTTTATATGTAGTGACATAGAAGATGTTCACATATACTGTAAAATGAAAGATAGAATTCAAAAGTATTATAGTGTGCATGAGCCGATATCAGTAAACAGTTAACATTGATTTTTCTGGGCAGATTTGAGGGGTCAGTTTTCTGTCACCTGTTGCTACAGTGTTTAAAAACTTAATTACAAGCAGAAAAAAATAATATTTAAAAAGGCAATTTCACAATTTTTTTTTTACAGGCGATTATATGCTTGATGCGAAGCCAAAAGAAATTTCAGAAATTCAGCGTTTAAATTACGAACAGGTAATAAATACAATTTTTATTACGTTAAAATAAAATAAATAAGTGTTGTGTTAATGAATGTGTATATTTTCTCTGTGAGTGGTTTAAAAAGGTTTTCCTCTGGGAGGAAAAAGGGACTTGAGACAGGGTCTTGCTATGTACTCCATACTGGCCTTGAATTCACTGTGTAGCCCAGGCTGGTCTAGAACTCAGGCAGCAATTGATCCTGCTGCACCCTCCCTTAAGAGCTGGGCCACCACACCCTGCTAAACTTTTTCTAGAAAGGACTTAATAGTAAATATTTTAGTCTTTGCAAGTCACATGTAATTAGTCTCTGTTGCTTTTTTTTTTTAGCAGCCCTTTGCAAATGTAAAGAACATTCTTAACTCACAGGCAGTTGGGCTCACAGGCCAAACCTTTTTTTTTTTTTTTTTTTTTTTTTTTTTTTTGGCACTGGGGATTAAGCTTGGGTCCTTGCACTTGCAAGGCAGGCAGCGGAACCACTGAGCTAAATCTCTAGTCCCCAAACATTTTTTTTTGAAACAAGGTCTTGCTCTATAATCCAGGCTGGCCTTGAACTGGAACTGATGACAGTCCTCCTGCCTCAATCTCCCGAGTACTGGGATTTTATAGGCATTTGCCACCACACCCAGCAAAGCCAAACTTCCTGAATTCCTGTTTTCTATGAATACTAATGCTGAATAGGATAATACGCTATATAGGATAATAATATATATGAGTATATGAGTAGCTACCATTCTACAGATCTGTATTGAATGATAACTTAGTATTTGTCTTGAAAACTAACTTTCAGATGAGTTTGTTAAATTATATTTTTCAGGGGTTTTTTTGTGGTACTGATTTGAATCCAGGTGCTTCCTGCACATACTAGGCATGCTCTCTGTTACTTAGCTGTATTACCAACCTGCAAGTTGTATCTAGGAGAAAGCTGAGGAAGTGATGTTCTGGTACATAATTAGGACAAATTTTGCTGGGCTATAGTTGTGATGTGTCCACATTTCTTGGCATATTCTTTAAAGATCCTGCTCTCTAATACGAGTATCACAAGGCCCAAAATTATTGGAGCTGGGAGAAAGTAAGCAGAGCTTCGTCTTCTTTAAGTTCCTTTATTCAAGAAATTAACTTCTAGTGGAAGAAATCATTGTCCAGGGGAAAAGTGATCTCTTCTCTTTCTTTGTCCCTCCCTCCCCCCTACCCTCTCCCTTCCTTCCTTCTCTCTTTTTTTTTTTTTTGATACCAGGGATCCAACTTTGGTCCTTGTGCTTACTAGGTAGGCAGCAGAACCTCTGAGTTAAATCCCCGGCTCCTCCCTCCCTCCCTTCCTCCCTCCCTTCCTTCTTTCCTTCTTTCTTTCTTCAGCTGTTCTAGGGTCAGTGAATTCACTGCAAAGTCAAGCGTGGAAGGAGCAGAGAATTCTGTGTGCCTGTTCTCCCCACAGTTACATCCTCCCCAGCTATTAATATTCCACATCAGTTGGGAGATGCCCCAAATGCACCAGCCTCCACTGACACATCATTGTCATACATAGTCCATAGTTTGCCTTAGGGTTCATTCTTGCTGTTGTACATCCTACAGATAAATGTATCATGACAGGTATGGACCACATCACACTTAGTAATTTCACTGCTCCCCAGATCCCATGTGCTTGGCCTATTTATCCCTACCCCTCCCTAATCCCTGGTAAACACTCACCTTTCTTTATTTTTTCTGGAATTGTACAGCGTGCAGCTTTAGTTCTCTTAGTTTCCTGCATGTTTTTCATGGCTTGATAGCTCATTTCTATTTTTTAAATTGTAAAAATCACATAATGTGAAATAATTTACTACTAATTTTTTTCCCCGGTACTGGAGATTGAAGACAAGAGCACTTTACCATGAACTCTGTGCCCAGCCCTTTTATTTTTTATTTGGAGACAGAGTCTTGCTAAATTTTCCAGGCTGGCCTAAAATCTGTGATCCTCCTGTTGCAGGCTGCCAAGTACCTAGGATGACAGGCATGTGCTTCCATATCTGGCTGCTTAATCTGTTTTGTTATGTACTGGAGATTGAACCTGGAGCCTTCATAATGAGTTATGTCTCCAGACCCTTTTTATTTTTTTATTTTGGGATAGAATCTCACTAAGCTGTCCAGGCTAGGCTCCCTTGCAGTCCTCCTGTCTCAGCTTTCCAGAGTCCTGGGATTATAGACATGCACCTAGCTTTCTTAATCAACTTTAATTGTGCCATTTCCTAGTGTTAACTATATTCACGGTGTCATTTAGCAGAGCTCTAGAACTTCTTCATGTTGTAAAATAAAATCTTATACCCATCAAACGACTTTTCCCTTATTCCTCTCAAGCCCATGGACACTACCACTTTCTACTTTGTTTTTGTGATTTTGACTGCTCTGGATAACCCATAAAATGAGAAGCATGATGTATTTGTGCTTCTGTGACTAGCGTATTTCATTTAGTGTTCCATCATCAAAGTTCATATTGTAGCATGCAATAGAATTTCTCTTTTTTGTGCTCGATTCAGCAGCACATATATTAAAATTAGATTTCTCTGTTTTAATGCCGAATAATATTCTACTGTATGTGCATACATTTGCTTTGCGTAGTCATATGTCAGTGGGCATTTGGACCACTTCCACTTCCGTCCCCACCCCCATCAGGATTTTACCGTGTAGATCCAGCTGATCTTAAACTTGTAATCCAGTCTGTCTGCCTCAGCCTCTGAGCGCTGGTATTGCAGGCATGCCTGGATAGCCGCTTCTTGACTATTGTGCATCATGTAATGAATACCATTGTACAGGTAACTTTTCAAGACCTTTCCCTCTGTTATTTTTTTGGATTTACACCCAGAAGTGGGAGGCCTTTCTCTTTGGCATTAGAAACTTTCGGCTTCAGAGTTCTTAGTCCTACATCTCTGCCACTCTATGCAACTTCATTCTGCTGTTTTTCTTAATACTTCATGTTTTCTTAATACTTACTTATACATTTACAGGTTTCTCCCAGTTATGTAAGAACAAAGACTTTGTTTTATTCACTATTATATCTCTGGAACTCAGATGGGTGCTTGGCACATTGTAGATTCTTAATGATAAAAATCTGTTGAAGAGGTGAATAAATTGGATAACAGTTTAAGCTCTCAGGCTCAAACCATCCTCCACCTCAGCTTCCTGAGGTTCTGGGACTGCAGGATTGTGCCACCACACCTGGCGGCTTTGGTTGCTTCTATTTTGATTTCCTGAGCTGACCCTTCCCCCTTTATCTTCAGAATATGAGTGATGCTATGGCGATTCTGCACAAACTGCAAACAGGCCTGGATGTGAACGTGAAGTTTACTGGCGTCCGGGTGTTTGAGTACACACCAGAATGTGTAGTGTTTGACCTGCTCGACATTCCTCTGTATCACGGGTGGCTGGTGGATCCTCAGGTGAGTAAGAAGATTTAAGTTAAATAAACACGAATGCAAGAACGTATACTAGTTTAACAAATTAAGCTAAATTTACACTTACTCATTCTTTGTGTTCTTTGACCTGGAATTAGCCAAACCATGAAGTTAAGGGCAGTCTTCAGTCTCCCAAGTCTGCCCAAGCTTTCTGACCCCAACTGCAAGGAGTTAGGATACAACTAGAAAGTTAGATGAAGACTGCGCAGGAAATCACACTCACTCTGCACATCAACTGCCAGTTCAGAAGCTTCCTAAAACTACCTTTAATAATGCGCTTAGAAATCTCCCAGAACCCAGTGAAGCCTCTTATACTCTCCATTGCAGTTTATCATAGGAAAAAGATAACAGGCTATGATTAACTAAGAATCGGGAGAGTTCCACATGGGAAGCTTCTGTATGCCTGAAGGCATGTTGCCTTCTTGGAATTGGTGTGTGCACAAAGGTTGCCAGCTCTAGAACTCGTTTAGCCTTCAGTGTTCAGCTTGTTTGTTTTTTGTTTTATATTGGGCATGAGACCTGGTGCCTTCACAGTAAGCTACATCCCCAGCCCTTTTTATTTTTATTTTGAGACATGGTCTTTCTAAGTTGCTAAATTACTCAGGCTGGGCTCCAATTTACAATCCTACTTTAACCTTCCAGAGTGCTAGAGATTACAGGTGAAGACCATCATACCTGACTACTACATAGCATTTGAATCACTCCCAAATCCGCACCTCTCTGCCTGTACATTTCTAAACACACAGTGTGCCTTGGGTGTTTCCTAGTCTAGCATTACAGATTTTGCCTGTTGGCAGAAACCTAGGGCCCTGGCCTGAACTAGATGACACATTCAAAGATTATTAATGGAAGTTTAAAGAAGAGGCTTTATTTATAAAGGGAAAGAAGGAAGGGATGGTGAAGGATCCCATAGTTAGTGATAGCCAGAACTACTGCTGCTCTTAACTCTGAAGAGACAAGGCAAGTGAGTAGTTAGTGGAACCCAGCAAGACCAGCTGCTAGAGTGTGGAGCTGCACCAGGAGCTGTAGCCAGCAAGGAGGAAGGAGAGCAGCACCTTCTCAGATTCCATTCTCTGATCTCTGCATGGTGGCCAGGTCTCACTGATAGCAAGAATAGGAATTCCAGTTGCTCCAAGACACCAAGGCGTGCCTCTTCCCATAGAGTGGATAATGGATTAGAAAAGTGGAAAGAGACAATTCCATGGTGGTGCACGCCTGTAATCCCAGCACTCAGGAGGCTGAGGCAGGAGGATCTCCCTGAGTTCGTGAGTTTCAGGTCAGTCTCAACTACATAGTGAGACCCTGTCTCAAAAAAAAAAAAAGTTTATTTTGATAGCACATGCCTGCCTGTAATGCCAGCACTTGGGAGGCTGGGGCAGGAAGATTGCAGTGAGTTGAAAGCCAGCCTGGGCTACCTAGTGAGTTCAGGTTCAGGGTCAGCCTGAGCTACAGAGAGAGACCCTGCCTCAAAAAACAAAAAACAAAAACAAAAACGTTTATTTTGAGACAGGGTCTCACTAAATTGCCCAGTCTTGCTGCAAATTTGTGATCATCCTGCCTCAGTAGCTACGATTAGAAGTGTACATCCCACCTGTGTCCCTTCTCCTGTTTTTAATTGGGTTATTAGCCTTTTCGTTATTGAGTTCCACAAGTTGTTAGTGTATTGTTCATATAAGTCTTTTATCAGATCCATAATTTGTTTTTGTTTTTTGGTACCAGGGATCAAACTCAGGTCCTTCCACTTGCAAGGCAGGTGGCAGAACCACTGAACTACATCCCTGGCCTTTAGATCCATAATTTGGAGCCAGGCACATTGGCACACACCTGTAATCCTAGCACTGAGACCAAGGCAGGAGGATCTCTGTGAGCTCCAGGCCAGCCTGGGCTACATAGTGAGTTCAAGGCTGACCTGAACTGCATAGTGAGATCCTGTCTCCAAAAGAAAAGGCTATATAATTTGTAAATGTTTTATCCTACTCTGTGTGTTGCGTTTTCATTTTCTTTATGACATCTCTAGTAGCACAAGTTTTTAATTTTGATAACATCTCATTCTGTCTTTTTTTCTTTTGTTTCTTGACGCTTTTGGAGTCAGGCTTTGCTTGACCAAAAGTTGAAAAGATTTACACCAGTGTTTTATTCTAAGATCTTTATAGTTTAATGCTTAGATTTAGGAATATGATCCACTCTGGGTTATGTCTTGGATGTATATGGTTTCACAGGAGAGTCACAATAACATTTGTTGAAAAGATTGTTCTTTTGCTGTTGAATTGTCTTGGTATTCAGAGTAGTGTTTGCAAAATAGCCCCTTCCTTTTTATTTCCAGTAAAGCTTCTATTGTGACTAATAAGATATAAAGTCTTACTTGGATTTTATGGTATGCTGCAGGTCTGGACTCTGCCTGTCTGTGCAGCTTCCCTCGTGCACTTCTCAGCCCTCTCCCTGCTTTCCAGCAACACCAGAAGCCTTTCTCTCTCCATGTGTCTCACTCATTCTTGTCTTGTGTTGGTTGCCCACTCTGGAAAACTGTTCTCTTGTCCTAACATTCTCATTTTTGGTTTTTCACATTTTTGGTTCTTTGTTTTTCAGGCTTTAGATCAAATGTCTTGTGAGGACTCCATGACCATCTTGTTGAAATTAGTTTCTTTCCTTTCCCTATTTTCTTTCCCATGATCTTACTTGATTTTCTTTACCATTTAGTATTAACGGTAGTTATTATTTCTGCCTTTACTTTACTGCCATCTCCCCCTAGAGTATATGAGGACTGGAAAGTTATATCTCAGTATTGAGAACTATACCTGATATGTAGTAGATTTGATGTAGATTCAACTTTTTTTTTTTTTTTTTTGGATACTGGGAATTGAACTCAGAACCTTGTGCTTGCCAGATAGGTGCCACTGAGCTAAATCCCTAGCCCTTGATGTAGATCCAATTCTTGATATGAATAAGGTGATAGCTTGGGAAATTTAACCCTAAATTCTTAAAAATTTAACTCAGGACCAGGCATGGTGGCTATTCAAATTTAATTAAAAGGGCTGGGGATTTAGCAGTGGTGCTGCCACCTGTCTCAAAGTGCAAGGCCCTGAGTTCTATCCCTGGTACCAAAAAAAAAATTTTTTTTTCGATTCCAAGTTGTACTAGCCATATTGTAGTTGTTTAGTAGCCATATGTAGGCTAGGATGTCATTTGGTGGTAGATTAGTAGAAACAGAAGAGATAATTTAAAAAGAAATCAAGGACACAAATATTGAACTGATGGGACAGAATAATTAATTCAGATATATGAATAATACAAAGAAAAAGTGGTGTGTGCCTAAGTTGGGTACAGCAGGATGAGCACTGCATGATCTCACGCATATATGGTCTCATAAACAGAGCAAGCAGCGGTTACGAGAGAGCAGGGGTGCTAGGAAGGGAAGATGGGGACACATTGGGTTTGTACTACAGCAAGGAGCCAGAAGCTCTGGCATACTGTTGCACTGTGTAGGTAGCACAATGACTGGACATCTCAAAGCTGGGAGGAAGGAGTATGGAAGTTTTTGTCATGAAAAGAAGGTAAGTATCTCAGGAGATAAATATGTTTAACTGATTTAAACATTTTGCAGTATATGCACGTGTTGAATATTACATGCTACCCCATTAATATGTGCAACTGCTATGTATTAGTTAAAAATAAATTTTAAAAAAGAAAAACATGTAAATATACTAAGCGTAACTGAGATTGAATACTCTATATGAAAAGAATGATTTAGGGCTGGGCTGCTCAGTGGTAGAGCACTTGACTAGTACATGCAGTACCCTGGGTTTGTTGTCCTGCCACACACAAGAAAGGCAACAAAGACAGTGATTCTGAGGCTGATTTAAAGTAGACTGTAGAGAATATAGTTACACAGAAAGATTGTGAGAAGGAAGAGAGATGCCATATAGTTACTAATTAAAAGATAACTAGTATAATTATACCAATACTAGAAAGAATACTAATACTAGAAAGTCAAAAAGCATTACAAACAGATCGGGGATTTAACTCAGTGGTTCTGCTGCCTGCCTCGCAAGCACAAGGTCCAGAGTTTGATCCCCGGTACAAAAATAAAAACATTGCAGTTGAATGTTTCATTTCCCAAAAAGATAGTAATTTTAAATGTGTATATGTCGAGACTCACAGTAGATGCCCTCATAAACTCTTAATTTTTTGTTTTTTCAGTACCAGGGATCAAACTCGGGACCTTGCACTTCTGAGGCAGGTGCGATACCACTGAGCTAAACCCCCACAATAGACTCTTAACTCCTTGGATCCACAGAAACTGCTACAACAAATAAAGATCAGTTTTTGACAACGAAAAAGATAGATTGTGTACATCTAACAATATAACCTAAAACTATATAGGCACACCAGGTGCAGTGGAACTCAGCTGTAATCCTACCTACTACTCAGAAGGCTGAGGGAGGAGGATTAAAGTTGAAAGCCAGCCTGGGATACTTAAACTTGACAAAACCCTTTCTCAAAATAAAAATGTTTAAAAGGCTGAAAATGGAGCTCATATGAAGGCCCTGGGTTGAATCCCCAGTACCCCAAAAAGAGTAAAAGGAAGGAAGGAGGGAGGGGAAAAAGTAGGTTAGTTAATCAGTCTGGGGTGTATAAATAAGTCATCGAACAAATATATAGACAGTCATATTATCTATGAAGGGAAGGGAGGAGGGGAGGCAGGAGGGTAGACTGGTTATTCAGTTGAATATATGTATATGTGTATATATATATGTATGTTGTCATACATATTATCTATACATAGTCATACCTTTAAAAAGGCAAAAATTAACAGAATTAGATTCTCAATACAAGATTTTAATTACCTTTTCTCTGTAATAAAAAATATACATTCCTTTATTGTGTTTATTGGTACTGTTTAAGTATGCAGTACAGTTAAATTCACCATTGGGATCTTATACCTTTACATGACGGATCTTGGTTCTCATTTTTTCCCCATACCCCTG